TGCAGTAATCTGGATCAATCTCTTGATGTTTGGTAATGTCATTAACATATTTACCTTAGCTAATAAGAACATAAGGAGGACTGACAGTATCTTGCAGCAGATAGTAAAGTAGGACTAAGATTGTATTAAGATTAATAATATTCATGATAAAGATGAAACTGACGTTAACAGTAACGGCAGTTCGGAGCAGAAAGTGGTCATCAGGTATACATTAAATAATCTTCACCACATTGTTCTGTTCTGGTTATAATGGCAAGTGTAGGTCCAAATTAGCTGTATTACATACTGCATACTTTTCAAATCATTTTGACCTCACTTTAAGTAAATCGTTCATGATTCAAAGAGTGCCATTCAGTAAGCAAGAAATGCACTGGAGCACACCCAACCGCCCTAAAATGCATTGAGCTCTTCAAATTGCACATTAGCAGCAGCCAGCAACATGTGCCATACAAACATAATAAACATGTTTCATTTGTGGTTTAACTATATTCAAACGTGTAGGCTATTGTTGCTGAGTTGCTTGATATAGTCATATGATGGGCAGAGGATATGCATCTGTATGTTGTTAACAGCAAACTAACCATGTAGTTAGTAGGCAGTATGGAGTATGGAGTTTATGTAGTAGGTTGGACATTTGTGTGCGGTTTCGGGTGCAGTCACTGAAGACTACATTACTTAGCATTAACATCTTCTCCACAAGTAGTACCTAGAAGAGAGCATCATTTTGAAAAGAGCTAAAGAGTGAGTGAAAGATAATTCATGACTTTTACTCTGATAGGTTTTAAAAATTGAGTAGATAAAATGACAATATTGTTGAATTTACCAAGCTGTCTACACTATTTTTATTCATTGGCTTTTAAGCCTGCATGAGACTCGGCTCCTGTTTTAATGTTTTATGGTTTGTTTTTAGTTATTTGTTTCTATGTTTTTAAATTAGTTTTTAAAAACATTGAAACTATATTTTACTTTTTGTTTTGCTTCTATTTTATCTATTGTTTTAATTGTTTTTTATGTCTAGTTGTTTTGTCTATTTATGTACAGCACTTTGTTCAGCTGTGGTTGTTTTAAAGTGCTTAACAAATAAGATAACTTATTTGTAGATAACTTTCTAAAGTTTAGTTTTTAGTTTTAGTGTTTTTTGTTTTTTTCACCACTGCATCAGCATAAGAAAGCACTGAGACACCACACAGTATGGCTTTACCTCCAGACATCTATGAACCTGTTAGTTTTTCTTTACAAAGCAACCAGAAAACAGCACACTGTGTAGACATAGCTGGAGGATCTTCAAACTTCATCTAAATGAAGCTCTTAGTTAAGGATGACAAGAAATCCATCTTGTTGCTGTATGCATGAGAACCTTCAATCAGGCTAATTACCTGCCAGACAAATACAGATGAGAGCAGGACACCTGGATTTATTTCCAGCGTGCAATCAAGCAAAACATCTACTGATACATAAAAACATAAAATCAGGAGGATGTGGTCTGCTCCACGACTGCAATTCACCATCTGTTCTTATCTGCAGTCGGTGAAAATAGACTCCCCGTGTTTCTTGTGGAGTTTTGTTTTCAATTACTAATAGATGATGCGGTTCCATTTAGCGGGGAAATATGAACACATACATTTATGAGTAAGCAAAAGCACATGTTTTTGTCAAAGCATAAACATAAAGCATAATGTGATGGATCGCTCATGCCTCTTTAGGTCCATTACCTTTGCTGAGGTTTGGCTATTTCCATGACTACGAGTTACAGTATCTCTGCTGAAATTGGTCCGGTCTTGAAGCTAATGGGTTATTATTATATGACTGATGCTGAACCACATTCTCTGCTTTGGGCTTATCTCCCTTGATTTTTCCAGAAACCATCCAACCCCCCCTCTTACCTCCATCACTGTCTCCTTATACCCCCATGTTGCTATGGAGAAGATCTGGCTCTGGGTCTGGATGAATGCAGTTCCTCTGGGTACATGGTCACATGGGGGGTCGATTTTTCTGGCCTCGTTATTGCAGTGCTAGATCAGATCATCCTTGGACAGATTTTGTCATGGATGGAAAAAAGACACTTTCTCATATTTGGATAATTACGGTAAAAATCAATGTTTTCACAAAGGAATGATCATTATAATGACAAGCAATATTTGAAACCACAGAACCATGGCAGGAAGATTTTATTGATCACTTTCTGGGTGATTATTTGGCAACTTCATTTTGAATCATGTTTCTTAATATCTATTTCTCAATTTTGACAAAAGAGAACGACTTGTCTCTTTTGTCTTATTATTTAAAAGTATGAGCAGCTCAGTTACGCTCTTTAATTAGGTTGAATAATTGAACTACACATTGTCATAAAACTCTGTTATAGCAAATTGTTTAAACAAACATGAACAGCCAATGAGTGAATTTGTGAAGAGTATCCAAGTGATTAGCTCTGAAGGTCCTCTAAATGCAAACCTGCCAGTCATATTTTCACATAAAACATCTACTGGCAGTGAGTCAGACTGAATGGAGTCCAATAATCATTAGTACAATGAAATAAAAGTAGACAAAATCATGAATATTATCAAGAACATAGCCCCCCTCAGGTAACGTCATTAGCAGTATTACCATGTAAATCACTCTACCAAATGACTCACCATCACTAAACTCGGGCAGATTTTTCCATAGAGCTGTTGTCCTTTTTCATAGAGCTGTTATCCTTGCAGATAAGGATCTTCAATATCGACTTAGAATTGTGCCATCCACAAACAGCAGCAGTAAAGTTTATTTCCAAGAATGGGTGGCACTTTCAGTTTCTATATGACATTTATTATGATATGAAAAGATTTATGGCAATAGCATTTAGAAACTCTCTCAGGGGCAAATTTAGACAAGAAAAATGAACAAGTCAATATGAACTAAAGAACACTGCAGCAGTTTCACGCTCTGCAAGCTCATTCAGTTTTGAGTCTCTTTTGTTTGTCCCAAGGTGCAAACTTAATTCTATTGTTGCATCATCTGCAATTCTTGTTCTTAAGTAATGTAAATTGAATTTAATCTTAACTGAATCAAGAAATATATCCAAGTCAGGGCTAATACAAAGAATTTTGAGTGGTAATCTAATTTGTCTGACAAGGCACTGATTCTGTTACTGTAGAGGACAGCAGTATTATCACGTTAAAAGGGAGAACAACGCCTGATGGTATGGGGTATAAAGTTATAAAGTTCATTAAATGTTTATGATGACCCCCCCCCACCCCCACACACACATACACCACCTAAAAAATGAATGTGACTTACAGGGAGGACAGGTATGGATAACCTGTGTTGAGCTCTGTAAGAAGATGCCATTAAGTTTGCTGCAAGTAGAAGTCATTACTCAGACTGCCAGAAGGTGGTGACTCAAGTCCCAGGCCGTACATTTCAAGAACTGAAAGTTAATCAGGCTACTCATAAAAACGTAAAATAGCACTAGCCTGTTTCAGTTTTCAGCATGGAAATGTAAATCAAAACCTGACAATCAGACTGAAACTAAAGATGATCAAAAGTCAAAATAGAGGGCAAATTCAGTGGTTAGCGTAGTCTAGCAGCATAGCAGATGTGTAGTCAATAAAGAGAAGTGAAAGACCCTTATCTATAATAATAAGACCCTACATAGGCTATATTTCAAACTTAAAATTTTACATCAAAGTGATTGTGTTATTTTTGTCTTGATGGAAGTGGTTTAAGTCTGTGCCCTTCTGTCAAATCAGCAAAACTGTTGATTGGGAGTTTTGTCTTTAGTCAAGCTGACCTACATTTTATGAACTGGTACACATGTGTTCACTTCACATCCTCCTCCTGAGTGGCCATCATGTGAAAGGTAGTTTTGGTAGCCTACCTGGAAGCCTGTGGCGATTGTGCAGCTGTCACCACAAACCGCACTATTGTGAAAGTAAATGGTCGGTAGCTTTCTGTTTCCAACTGAGCGAGCCCTGTTCAGTTTGAGTCATTTTCTACATCTCGGTTCAACAAAACACGACTCTTTTTCTCATGCGCTTGTTTCCCACTCTCAGCAGGAAACCATGAGTTTGGCTTCTATCATGCCCAGACGTGAACCAACATGCTTTTTTAGTCTACATTTCTTGGCGGACTAAAGCTGCATTCCGCCCCACCCCTTACAAACAACATCATCACCACTGTACCTAAATCAGGAAGCACCGACACACGTTTTTTCCCCTTTCTCTTTTTTTTACGGAGACACTGTGGTGATTACGGCGACGTCGACCGTTAAAAAGGGGAAAAGACGTAATTGTTGATGTTGACGACCACCGTCGACCGTTGCTGAAAGGAGACTGACAGTTGGTTACATCCAGTACAAGGCTGAGCTGTGGATGCATTTGACAGAGACTAACCGGAGAAGGGTACGTGCACTGTCAAACTGGTTAAATACACTCAAATAACTACAGGCGATAAACCCAGAGGAAAGACAGTTACACACATTTAATGGGTACGTTACTGTCGCTTTGCTGCTGTTTTTTTTTCACTGCAGAATACGTGGCGTAGCGATAGTAAATATGTTTTCCACGTCGGCTTGTTTACACTGTGAAACTGAGGTTTCGAAACCTGCAGAGAAATATGCTAGGAATGTCGTTTTCTTCTTCGTCCAAGTGTGCCAAATTCGGTGTAAGAGTTCGTAGTAAGTGTTATTAAATAAGCATCACTGTCGCCAGGCAGTGTCACTGCTTTGTCATGTGCTTTGACAGCGGCGCCCCCCGCCACCACTACTACTACCACCACCACCCTCCCTGCTACTGCTGCCTTCTCCCCCTTCTAACAAATCCCGGTTAACGAGTATGTCACTTAAATCTTTTTTTGCTTTTTAGCAGTTTAAAAGAAAAGGTTATCATACCAAAAAACGTAACGCCAACTAATAGATGAATTCCTATAATTCGGCTGATATATCTCACGCCTAACCGGACTTTAACCATGGAAAATTCATAATCTTATAAACACTACATTGTTTACTAACAATTGCGTCAGCGCGAGTTGGTGGCAGTGGACGGTTGAGGAAGTCGCTAACCAAGCCAATACTTCTGTGTTTTTGTGCAAATTGACAGGTGCTTTCATTGTATATCAAAATGCTGTAAAAGGACATTGTTATGTTAGGAGTTGTTTCACAGAAGGCATCACAGCATACATCAATTAATTTCCCCTTTAAATTGCACTATTTGAACAGGAATTTGGTGCCCAAACAGGCGAGGGTACATGCCAGTACTCTTTATCAGTAATGTTTGCATTGCTATGAGTAAATGTTACAAAGGAAAATGTATTAGATGTTCCAGACACTCAGTCTTGTTTAAATACTAGGAAAGACAGTCATGCTGAACCATGATGACATAATGGACAAAGACCTGTTGCCTCCTTAGTTTCAATAGTTTCAATTTATTCCAGATAAAAAAAAATGTTGAAACATCTCAACATGATACAACTAGCTTTGCTTTTACAATTTATGTTTTAAGTATCCCACTGAGCATTTTTTGGTCTAAAAGAGGTCTAATAGATGTCTAAATGTAGCCTAGATGACTGGTCTTAAATCAGGCTACCACAGGTCTAAAATTGAAAGATTTTTAGATGTCTAAATTTAGACCAAGTTTAGACCAAATCTAAATCTGGGCTATATCTACAGTACGCTGTATATTGCTCAACGGCTCTCATGATTATTTTGGTTAAGTACTTGGAGATCAGTAGTGCAACTCACTGTTGCATTCTGAAATAAATTCTGAATAATGGGCTAAAGTGCAAACGTCTATATTCCGTCTAAAAATATACAGAATCTAGACGGTTGAAATTCGGTCTAAAAAGAAACTAGATTTCTAATAGCCGTCCATTGCTGTGGGATAATGCAAAGAATTATATTTGTATTTTTTCAGTCTCCACTCAACATAATAGTTTGTATTTCTTTCTGGAGATTAATTCATACAATGCACAGCCTTGAGGAAATCAAGTATTACATCACTCTGCATCCCAAGCTTGGTCTGGTCTGTAGCAAGCTCCTCTTGTTTCTGCGTTTTACATGAAAACAGAGCAGACTTGTAACAGAAACCATACAGGTCCTGTTGGCCTGGACTGAACAGAGCAGCAGCTGTTCACAACTCTTGGGACGCTGAGAAGTGCTTGCATGTAACAACAGCATGAGCTGTCAAGATATGAGCTGTCATTTTTATATGTGGGCTGTTATTTCCATGAAAGAATACGGAGTGTCTCAAAGCAGAGAAATGCTCACTTACTGTCTGTGCTCCACGCTCGGTCTATAAATAAAGTAGTCACACACGAGTGGCTGCTTCAGTCAGAGCTGACTGATTTATTAAAGCCTGCGGCCCTGAATGTCCTGCAGCGAGGGAGCACTTATCAAGGTAACCTCTGACTCTGCTTGATACAAAACACACAACCTGATTTTGAGCTCTTCTTGAGATGATGAAGATAGATCAGGTTAGAAACTAGGGAATCTAATCTCATTAACGGCACCATGAGACCTAAATATGCTTTTATTCTCACACATAGACAGCATGCGTGTTCTCACAGGTGTGTTTCATTTTAACAGGCAGTCGGGGCCGCATGAAAGGAGTTTACTTTTGTGTATCTGATAGATTTCTTGAAATGAGAGGTTTTAAATACCATGCGGGATTGCAGAGGTTGTACCCTAACCTTCACATAGTTTGCATAGAAGCCTCTGTTTGCCTGCGACTACCTGAGCCGGGAAAACCGCAGGAATGCATTCCTTTGCATTCCTTTGCATTTCACTGGATTTGGCTTAGCACAACTAGGAGACAAAATGCCAAGAGGTTTGTTTGTACATTATGTGTGTTGTTTTGCATTCCTGGTTGTTCCTTTACAAGAGCAGCAGCAGCAGGCCTCTAGTTTGAGGTTTAAAGTGAAGTTTGGTATTCAGACAGTTACAGTTTCTTGTACTGAGTGAAGTTGTTCCACCCTGTGTGATCTTATCTGCACTTGCAGGTAAGGAACTGAGGTTTGTCAGCTTCCGCTCTCGCAGACTCACAAACTTCCTCTGTTTTTTTACTTCCCCCTCCTGTCTGCACCTGTTCTTGGCAGACAGGTTGAGTCACATTACCTGCTTTATGAACGTCTCTTGCTCAACAGTCCAATAGTTGTGTCAGTTCTGTGCGAGGCGTGGTGATGCCTGTCCACTCAGGGTGCTATACTGACAGCACATTCTGTTAACCGCAGTGGCGTCACAGTTTGCAGTGTGCCAGCTCGTCATCGTGATCAGCAGATGGTAGAGTGTGAGTTTTTGCCTCAGATCCAGGCTGAGAGGCTGTTGCTTGAATTATCAGATAGAAACCCCATGTGGCAGCAGTTGAGTATATTCACAAGTATTGAACTCATGCTTCAGGCCCCAGGCTATATCAGTGTGTACACCCCAGGGGCTTACGGATGGTGCGCATGCTTAACAACGAAAAACAAATATATGCCGGATTGAGACACTGGCTGCTATCAGCATTGCACCCCTGGGAGTGTTGATTTCTGCTGGCGTCTAATAGCCTATTCCTCAGAGCCATATGTGCCCTTCCAAGAGGAAAGTCCCACAACAGCAACTCCTGCTGTGGGACTCAGCTCAGAAATGTTTAAAAGTTGTGCTGAAAAAAGCTGTTTTTTTAATGGCCACATACTTAACTTCCTCTGGAGATGCAACATCAGAGTGTGTTTACAGTAGAGACATTTCAGTAATGTTCTTTTCCTTACAGATAACAAATCCTGAACTTGGGTGAGCTTTTTGGCCAACGCCAAGTACTTTCTCTGATAGTAATGGAAACAAAACATAGTATTATCAACCAACACTGATTACTGTCATTATGCTAGCTCCAACTTTTGGTGATAATCAGTTAGGACCAATTTCCACTTGAGTGCGTGACTGGTGAATACAGTGCTAACATAGAAAAAGTCACTTAACGCAGCCTAAAATTTGACACTGTTAATTCTGCAATTGGTGCAATTACAGGTGAATAAAAATCGGCAATCCTCGAAATAATGTGCACCCCAAATAACACATTTCCTCTGAACTGTAAATCACAATCCAGAGGAGGTATTTGTATCTGTAGAGAGAGAGTGTTCTCTGTCTGTTATTTTGTCATGATCACCAGTTTGCCATGTACATCAGTGATTGGCCAGTGCTTGAAGGCACAGGACAAAATACATTTAATTTTAAGGCTATTTTGATATTTAGCCCCCACACATCTTGGCAACTGAGTTTTCATGTGTAATGGAAAAGCTCTGACGTGCACAAGTATTGTAGGAAATGGTGTTTTGATAAAACTGAAGAAAAAACTCATCATGCCACCAAGGCACAGAAAATTATGTAGGTGTAAGATTTCTTATTGACAGGCTACAGTCAAGTCATGTAGTTTTCATAAAGGCAGTGTTAAAACCATGTCTCATTATTGTGAACCTGGTCTCACGAAGACTCCCTACTCTACATGGTATTTCAAAGAGAAGTCTGATTCTTAGTTAAATAGCCGAGCTATGAGTAAAAGTGATCCTGTTCTGAAGGAGCAGTAAAGTATGAAAGCAGTGGCCCAGATGTGTTAGACAGGCAGACAGAGCCCACTGGCGAACATGGCTGCCCTTGATAGTGAAGCTGTTGTAGTTCAGCCAGACAACCATGGATGACTGGTCAGTGAGTTGACAAAACTCTGACTTCTTCACAGGCCTGGCTTATGAACAACTACACTCACTTATGTTGTGTTCATCTGAAAGTCAGACTGACATTGTTAAGTAGGACAAGTCAGGGTGATTACATTACAACAGCTGTTTTGAGAAGGCTCTACTCATTACTTAAGATGTAACATGTGCCAACCAGCTTCAGATTCCTCTGGGTGGGTGCCAAACATTCCTAGTATGAATCAGCTACATCGAAGGAAAATCATACTTCGAGTATAGGAGGATAAGCTTTTTGTTTGTTGTGTTTTGTAAGAGAACTAGGTCCTTTTTATCCCTCTCTAGACTGTTGTCAACAAGTGATGAGAAAAGTCTAAAGATGTCAGAGGCAATCGATTGTTAGCTAAGCCTCATACTCGTATTGCACGGCCTGAAAAGCTCCAGTGTCCATGTTTATTGACGATCTTATGACCCAGATTTCTTGGTAACATTTCAGATTCTCATTTCTGTGGCAGATTTTATTCGCTGAGGCTAGCTGATTCAGCTTATGTCAGCACCAGGTTCACTTGGTTCAGAATGTAGGCCAACTCTGTGTTTTTTAGTTGCCTCATATTAAAACAAAGTGATTTAGATATATGATCAAGATGGCTCAAGATCAGTATCAGCTGTGATCCATACGAACAGACTTTGGACCAGCTAATGCAAGCTAATGCTCTTAACTTTCCAGCCTGGTTAACATACTGTGACATGTTTTTAGAAAGGGCTAAGTTTATTGATCAGAACTCAAACAAAAAGTGGTTAAACAAAAAGATAATCTTATTTCTACAATGACAGCTTGGTAAATTTGTCTTCAAATGTAACAAATTAAATGTCTGAAGGACACGAAAAGCATGTTTTTCGGCACATTTAACTCATACAAACTGTGTCCCTATTCAAGAGTAGGACCCTTCAAAGAACTTCACCTGCAAAGATCACTGAAGTATGTCTGGTCTACGGGGGATTACCTGTTTGCATCGTCTGCTTTTAACCACATGTAAATTAGCATCACTCCTCTCGAGAAGCAATAAGTAGCTAGCTGGCTTACTAGCTAACAGGGCCAGAGTCACAGATTGAAACTACCATCAACATATGTTAAAGGCAACTTTATTTTTCAAGGCATTCATATCTTGTGCTCAACATTTGTATCATTTGCTATTCCACTGGATTGAAACCTTATGATAATATTTAATGGTGTTTTATGAGGCCACTTAAGTGTTTGCCACTTACATCACAATTGTATTCGGCAGACGCTTGAGACAAAAGTGTTTGTTCAGACAGAAGGAGTGACTGAAATGTCTCGACAGAAGGGAACAGCATGAGTAGGCACAGCTAACAGTTTCAAGTCCAATAAAATACAAGTCCTGACATGTAGCACTAGAAGCAAAACACAGGGTGTCTCCAAACAGAAGTCTATGAAGTTTTTAATTTAACATCTATATCACCAAGAGCAACAACATCATCTGTAAGATTCTGTTTTCATAGATATGCTGAGCTGTGCAGGATGCACCCAATGCATCCTTCTTGCTCACAGCAGAGCAGGACACATTTGTTGGCTGTATTTGATGTAGCCTTTGAAATGATAGAGCTTTTAACACAAGACCGTGATGCAATCAGTCTTCAAGTGCATCTATAAAGGATGCAGCCCCTGAAGTGTGATACAGCTATCGATGACATTAAATGGTGTGACTGAAGTTGTGGCCTTTCCAGGCAGAAAAACAAGACACAGATAACACTGTTGACCTTAACTGTAAGAGCTTCCAGATTTCACAAAATGAGGGGTTGTAGTTGAGAGTATAAAATGAAAGAATAATCCCACAAACTGATTGCATGCGCGGGTAGCAGTAGAAGGATTTCTTGACGCTGCTTACACACAATATAAATTCATATGTTACACTTTGTCTTCTGATGTTTTTGGCTACACTCTAGCTTTTATGTTTTTATTCTGAAAGGGTTAGGAAACAGACCCCTTCCTCCACCTTTTTGCCTGCCAAGTTTCACTCTCACTCCTTCCTCCACTTAAACCTCGATTTCCAAACATGACATAGGTTTGCTCAGAAAACAAGCCAAGGCAGATAGAGGAGAGAAGAGCAAGAGGAAGTGTGAGGGCTTAAATCACTAAGGCCGGTTGTAACTCACCCTGTAGCTACAGTGTGCAGCATATGCCCTCTCTTTGAGACAGATGTTAACCTTTGACCTCCAATCTCTTATCAAGAGCAGAGTGCTTTCACTGATAGAAAGTGTAAGTCTATCACAATTTCTTCTCTCATTGCCCTCTCTCGTGTCCCCTCAGCACACACACATAGACACAAACACACCCCCAGTATTTGTTACGTAATTGAGTGCCAATGGGGAATAACATGTTGCAGTCACTGAGGGTAGCCAGATGGGCTTAAAAGAAGCTGTTGTTCCTCAGCACAAGAGCAATTTAAAGTAAAACAAAGGAACCAGGCAATGGCAGACAGACACACGTGTCTCAAGCACTTACAGCTTTAACTGAGATATGGGTTTGTCAGCAAGTTGTGCAGGCTTCTTGTCAAATCAAATATGCATGCTGTGGTCATGGAGAGTGCACTTACATTTCTACAGAAAGAAGAGGTGATGATTTAACATGCTTAGCAGGCAAAAAACAGAATAGAACATTTCTAAGTGTATTTCCTAATTATTTTGGGTGATTTCATTCAAAGGATATATTTTCATTTTGTTCCTGTTTCAGTTTTGCTGCATCAAGGTGAGCAAGCAGGAGCAGTGGCATTGTAGGCTTAAAATTTTGCTCCAGATTAGCCTTGACTGTGCACAAGGTCTGCGCAGTGAGACACATTACCCACAGAGATTCAGTCCTTTCCAAAACAAACAGACCTCTTGATAAAGAGCTGATGGAAACACTGAACTAAGCAGTTTCACTCTAGAAATGTGTGTTTTTGTTAAAAGTTTTTTTGTGTGTCCTTTTTGTGTCTGTATCGATTGCAATAGATAGCAGAAGACTTGAGTAGAAAGAAGAGAATAACACGGAGAAAAAAGGGCCATCTGCTTTATTTAAAGCCTTTGTTAGTGGGGTGTGAGATTTAACCACAGGGCTTCACCAGCACCTGAAATCTGTGTGTTTGTCTGACACACTTTTTTTTTCCCCCGCAAAATCTGGATATATTAAGGGTTTTAACTTGTCTCCTAGTGCCCCTCATGTTTTACATGAGGATTTAATCTGTGCAAGTATTTAATGTGAGTTTCCCTTTGCTAGATATAAGTATGTGACTAGTAAAACATTGTAGGATTAGTTGTACAGGGTTGTGGTCCAAAATGGAAATATTAACCGCTGCAGACAGGGTTGACTTCAATGAAACAAATTTATAATATAGTTTGTATTTCTTTCCCTATAAACTTCCATCATTCTCCAGCCCAGTGGAAGTGAAAAAGCTTCTGCATTGTCTCTGTGGTCCACCCAGTTAGGACAACAGCTTCTACAAGACAATTTGAATCGGCTCCTGTGGTGACATCACAACAGGAGTGATTTGACTTGCTCTCATTTTATTGTGGGGTAAGATGTCAGATGTTAGGGCAAAAACAGGTGGCTGCAGTTGGTGCCACACTAATTTGTGTAAGTGCCAACCCTTTGACTCCATGCTGGCGTGGGGTCTTTATAAGTGCTTTTTTGTTTGGTTTGGTGTTTTTCCACCTATTCATCTTTAAGCACCAGGCTGAACTCTCCCTCTTGTATCCAGCCAGGCAGCCAATCCGCACAGCGCCTAATTATCAGTGTCTCCCCGCCCACTCAGATCACTGCATAGATAATGAAGCTAGAAAGTGAGAGGCTGCAGATCCTCCATAAAGGCTGTATTTGTTGTGTTTAATGCATTAGATTTAGTATTCACTCCTAGGGCTGGAGAGAGTACTTGAAATTGAAGATGATGAACCAGGGGATGCACACAGAGATGCTGCTGTGAAGCATGAGGCTAGTAACTTAGGAGTTAACCCAAAACATGCAAGCTTCACATTAACGGCCACATTTTATTTGTTCAATCTCTGATATAATACTTAAAACAAGTCAGCTTGGCAGATTGTAACAATTACATGGAGTTAGAATAGTAAGACAGTAGGAAAACAAAGAATGATTACAGATATAGAAGCATGTGGCTGTCTTTTTTCAGCAGACACATAGAGGCTGGTATCCGGTCCAGCCTCTGCTCCCAGTGTTATTGTCTGTTGCTGCACCGCTGTAACAGATCAAGAAAGAAGCTGTTTGGAGTATCAACAACTTTGTGACACTGGCCCATAAATAATATTCATCATAGCAGCAGTAAATCTTTGTTTTATCTTCAGAGCAGACATGTAGATTTATGGTGATACGATAGAACTTTGTCTCTCTAGTGTGTTTTTCTGCTTTATCTTCAGTATGTGAAGCATCTTAGTAACCTCTGTCTTAGTAGATGAACTGAATCAAAACCTTTCTAAATCCACAAACAACTCAATGTCACCACTATAAAGTCCACACTCCCAAAAGAGTATTACATCTGTGCCTCTGGTGGGTTCATGTGCTGTATATGGAGTGGAACATTTTGATAAACGTGCTGTACAGAAAGAAAAAAAGAAACACAACATTGTTTTCTTGGCTTTTCACATTCGTTTTGTCTGTGAGTCACAGCCCTATAAAAGTCAGTTCCATGACCGCTGACTCTTTGTTTGAGGAAGTATCCCCCAGACAGCTCAGCCGTGGTGCTATGAAACCTATTTGCACAGTATTGTTTGTAGCTTTGTTTTTGTAAATGTTTCCTCCTGTATATGAGCACAAACATACTCACAGCAGCCCATGATGCACTGAATGTTATTGCCTCTAAACCCGATTGTTCCCACGAGTTTTATTACTATGGTTGTTATAGAGTAATCCATTCTCCCTTTCCTCAGTGTTATAAAAAGCTCATCTCATCCTGACAGGGAGATTTATGCTGTAGAAAGGTAATATCCTTTTGAACTTCACAGGCACACAGCCAGTGGATTCTCACTGAGAAAATAAGAAGGATTGTCTCTACCCGATGATTCAATGTTATCTGCACATTTGCAGCAGACAATATGCATTAAAGATACCATTTATTAAGCTGCTTTGCAATCTGTCTTGTCGACAACTCTGCTATCAAATGTTCCTTTTTTCTGCAGTGCTTATCCCTTCCAGGTAGCAAAGCAGCCCTTTTTTTCCCCCTGTACCATCGCTGGTGTGAAACTGATATGTAGGTAACAGAAGACATATGGGAGAAGCCTTACTTCCATATGTACAGACAGATATTTTTCCAACTCATGTCCCCTTTTGTTATTCTTCATGAGGCAATGTAAAACATTAGGGGATGGCAAGGATATGGATTTGAAATAGCTTCAGGTAATGGACAGCTTAGACCCATAGATAATTGTTTTTATGTCTGCAGTCTCTTCTGAGCGGTAATGGATTCCTTTAGGGGCCGGCCTCTGCCAATGATAAGAGCTTTCTTTTCCTCCTAGTGATGTATTTAACGGTTAGCTGAAATGTTCGCAATCAGCCGCAATTTATATCAGCTTGATGAGAGAGGAGCGATAAAATTTTTCTCTCCCTCTCACTGTATGTTTTCCAACACCTTCATATCTCATACCCTTAATCACATGGCATGAAAAACAAGCATGCCTCAAAAAAGGACTGCATCTGAGTTCTAATTGCGGCTCCCTCTCTTTTTCTGACTCCTCTGTCTTTCTCACGCGCTATTATGCAACAGGCTTTTCTTGCAAGTCTTTGCAGGATCTCACTTTTGATTGTGTAACATCGAGAGTGAAACTGGTTGGCAGGCGTCATGTTCAGTCTGACAGAGTCTGTGCAATGCCTGGCCTTTGCCAAAAAGACACTGATGTCCTCATTGGACATCAGCTTTATGCTAAATTGAATCCATGACCAGGGGCAAGACATAATTTAATAAGCTGGGGATTTCAGTAAAATTTTGCAGCTGCAAGTACTTTTCGTGACTGCTTTGATTCAGCCACTATTAGTCTCAAATAAGATTCAGT